ACTGTTGGCCCCCTGTTTTTCACACTCTCTGTTCCATGTCATTCCTGGTAGTCTGTCTCATTATTATTATAAAAATACTTTACCCTCGGTCTGCAACAGGAAGGGACAGCAGGAAGGTGGAGGGTCACTCTCAATGAGACGGACCAACTGGGACCACAGTAGTGAGCTCAAGCGTGTCAGGGCTGACGAGGACGGCGTCGGAGCTGTTGTTCACAGGGTCACTGTGAGTCGTGCTTGACAGGACCCAACAGCATAAAATGCGCTAGAGGGAGGGGGGCTGTGGAGGCCCAGCAGCACGGGGGCCGCTGCCAACCCAGAGACAAATGTCCGACTCCACCCGCCGTGTGAGTCCCCGCCCCTGACGCTACCAGAGGGCCAGCTATCAGTCAACACTTCATGGACGTCACAGCAACAGAAGGGCTAAAAAGCACGGTGTCCACCACAAGCCTGGGTGTTCCCTAACACTCCATGTCCATCTGCAAGCTGGACACCAAATGGCGAAGGCCAAAGACTTGACCACTGAACTGTGGCGTCTCCGAGCGTCAGCCATCCTACGGACTGACATCCAGGCCACTCCTTAGAGTCAGGGATGCTGAAACTTCGTCTCGCTCAGGGGGTGACTGGGAAAGGACATCATGCTGAGAAAAGTAGAGTGACCAAGAGGCAGCCCGTGACTGAGACGGAGCGATGCGGTGACCGCAGCCAGGGATCACAGTGCCCTGGGTGGTACCACTAGCTAGAGCAGTGGTCTATCAAGCCCCCTCAGATGCCTGGGGAGAGACAGCACGCTAGGCGGGCGGGGGGCCACCGGCATGTGGGGGGCTCATGTCCCAGCACGCAGGGGGCACCAGCACATGCAGGGCGGGGGTGACTCACCAGCACGCATGGGGTGGGGCGGGGTGAGGCCACCGGCACGGAGGCCAGCATGGGAGTAGCCCCATGGCACGGCAGCAAGTGTGGCATTTTGTTTGCCCCGTCCGTCCTCCTACCAGACCAATGGTTGCCAGTTCAAGGCCACTCGGACATGCCTCAGAAGGCAGGCCAGGCAGGAAAGCCTGCTCTGACAGCTCACAGCCTAGCAATCCGTGGGGACAGCTCTATCCTGACACGTGCGTCTCCAGGCGCTAAGTCGGCCTGGACAACCACCGGGTGGGAGGAGGGGGCAGTGGATAGGAGGGGGCTGGTCCTCATCCTGGACACAGGGTGCATCTGTAAAGAGGGTCAGTGGCGCCCAGCCCCGTTCCCGACGACGCAACAGCACAGGCGGGGACACAGGACACATGTGGCCGGGGTGGGTCCTAGAGCTTTATTGCGCCTATGCTAACAGGCCAGGCGTCGCCCCCACCAGTAATGCCGCAGGCAGTGGAGCCGGTGCCCTGTGGAGGGCCAGCTGAGGGTGAGCTCCGAGATGGACACGGTGCTGGCCTCCGAGGACGTGTCCAAGGGCTCGGGTTCAGCCTTGAAGGCCTTGGTGGACTGCTTGTGGTGGTGACTCACGCCAGGCTTGGGGGCTGCATTTTCTGGCTGGCTGGTGGTTTTGCTGGGCGCCTCGGAGGCCTGCGGCGGGATGCTGGTGCTACCAGGAGACTGGACGGTGGACGATAACAGGCTGTTTGTGCCCACAGAGTTCTGCTCGGTGACCAGTGGGTGGTCTGCCTTGTGGGTGGTCTGTGAGGGGCCACTGGACACCAGAGGTGGCGAGTGCTGGCTGGAGGCCTGCGGGTTTGTGGTGGAGCTGCTGCTAGACTGCACCCCTTCCTGACCAGGTGTCTGGGGGAGGCTGTGTGAGGCTTCCGGGGTCTGCACCCCAACCCCGGAGGAGGACTGGACGTTGCCCATGGTGGCCTGAGAGGAGCCCCCGGAGTTCTTGTTGGGCCTCGAGGGGCTAGCTTCGGGTGGGGACTGGGTGGAGGAATTCACGGGGAGCTGATGCTTCGGGGTGACTGCCTCCTTATGAGGAGTGCTCTGACGGTCCTGCCCTGGGCTGGCGGCAGCAGCTGCCGTTGTGGTCCTGGTCACTGTGGTTGCTGTAGTCGCTGGGATCCTGGTCGTTGCGGTCGCTGGGGTCCTGGTCGCTGAGGTCGTTG